CTCCTACCTCTTTTGTCTATAACTCACTATTATTTGTCTATTTGTTTTCCTGAGAAACTATCTTGTAGATAACAATATGTAAGACAATAACCATTGATAATTTCCTACCATTTTGTCTGTAATTTGGTAAGCCCCCCCATTATTGTTATCCTTCTCTTACTCTTTAAAATAAAAAAAAAATATGTGATGATCAGATCAAGGCAATGACATGTCCATCAGCTTAAACTTTTGTCATTTCTTTGCATTAACTGTTCTGTTTTGAAATTGGATTATATGTTTGTTGTTAAGTTGGGAATTTTAAAATAATGACTCCAGTTACTTTGATTTTTATAAGGGTATTCAATTATGTGTTTCATAATGTGATAGTTTGTGTTTCTAAGATGTTCTGCTTTGTCCTAGCTATTAGATTTGTATGTCCATGGTTGATGTGGTATTCTCTTATGATTCTTTTGATATCTGCAGAGTCTGTTGTGATATCTCATTTTATTCCTAATTTTGGTAATGTGTCTTTTCTCTTTTTACCTTCATCAGTGTTGATACCTTCATCAGTGTTGGTAGGGGTTGATAGGGGTTGATAGGGGTTGATAGGGGTTTGTGAATTTTACTGATCCTTGTAAGAAATCTGTTTTTTATTTCTTTAATTTTTATCTATTTTTAGCTTTATTGATTTCTGTTGTTTGCTATTTCCTGACTTCCAGTTGTTCTATTTGCTCTCTTTTTCTAGTTTCTTTAGGTGAGCACTTAGACTAATAGTTTGTGATGTTTCTTCTTTTCCAATGTCAACAGATAATGCTGTGAATTTACCCTTTAGCTGTGTCTCAAATGTTTTGATATATGGTGCTTTCATTTCTCTTCAGTTTGTTGCTTCTATTTACCTCCTTTTAGGTATCTTCTCTGAATCCTGGCTTATTCAGAAGTGTGTTGCTTAAACTTGGCACAGTGGTACACTCTTGTAGTCTCAGCACTCTAAGATGCTAAGCAGGAGGGACTTAAGTCTGAGCCCAGCCTGGGCAACTTAGTGACTTTAGTGAGACTACACCTCAAAATAAAAAAGGGTCTGGGGATGTAGTGAAGTACCAGGGACCTGGGTTCAACCCCCAGTAACAGCCTCCACAAAAAAGAAAAGAAAATGTACCCAACAAATTCTGGCCATTTTCTTGTTATCTTTTATTGATGTGCAGGGATTCTATCATGGTCAGAAAACAACTCTACACATTAAATGTATCTTATTGTTGAAGGATTTTTTTTTGCATGATTAAAATATATATGTTCTATTCTACCCATGTTCTTTTTTTCCAATATTGGTGATTGAACCCGGGGTCTTGGCACTGAGCTACATCCTCAACTCTTTTTTAAAAAAATTATTTTGGGACAAGATCTCACTAAGTTGCTAAATTGTCCAGGCTGAGCTCCAAATTGCAATCCTCCTGCGTCAGCTTCCCAGAGTGCTGAGATTACACATAGTTATCTTCAATCAGTCTTCATTCCCCACCTCACCTGTCCAGCCCTACTACTACTTTAGTAGTTAACCACTAAACTACTTTCTTTTTTTGTTTTTGTTTTTGTTTTTGTTTCCTGAACCAGGAATCGAACTCATGACCTTGCACTTGCCAGGTAGGCACTGTGCTGCTGAGCTAAATCCCCAGCCCCTAAACTATTTTCTTTATATATAGATTAGCTACTCTGCACATTTTATATAAATGCAATGTCAGAGCCTTTGTGCCGAACTTTGAC